TGTTACTGCCTTGCAGTTTTTTGTTTTTTTTTTATTGTTTTTTTTGCTGGGCTTTTTTGTAAAAAAAAAAAAAATTCAATGCATTGTAGATCTGACAGTCAATAGTGTGTTACTTAAAAAAAAATTAAGTTGTTTTTTATTTATTTTTCCAAATATTTTGTTGGCAAATACGTCATTCATGCAGACACCAACAACCTTAAAATAAAATGTTTCTTCAGATTTCTTTAGTGTGTTTTATTTGTTATATAATCAATATCAGCATCACCTGTTGATGAGCATTAAGCAAATATATTAATTAGTTTACTGTCTGACTGCAGCATTGGATAATGTACTTCCTTTCAGTCTTCTGTCTGTCGGCATGTTAGCTTCATCATTCTTCTGTTCCATCACTCCATCGTTACATAGGCTGATCCCTGTCTGTTGTGCCAGACTCCAGAAATAGCTGCTTGTAAATGTGCATCATTGCTGTAATAAATAACTAGACCAAGACCTCGAAGAACATTTCTCAGTACTGCGGTAGGATTCTCAGTTCTGCAAATGTAAATGATTTGTTTATAGTGGAAGCAGGAACATTTCTTTTGAAAAAAATATAAATGCGTTTCATGCTTGAACTGCTTTGAAGCTGCATTAAAGGGATAGTTCACCCAAAAATGAAAATTACCCCATGATTTACTCACCCTCAAGCCATCCTAGGTGTATAATGCTCTTTTTCCCGGACACATCCTGGCCAGATTTTCTATATTGCCATAAAAAATATCCAGGTTTTGGCTTTGTTTTCCTGTTTTCACTCTTGCTGAAGGTAATGATCGAAAAGTAGTTTGACCAAAAAGAGCAGTGTGGTCACCCTAGGTGTACGTGACTTACTAGGTGTATAAAGGCTTTCTGAAGTGAATCAATGAAGTGAGAGTGAATAAATCATGGGGGTAATTTTCATTTTTGGGTGAACTATCCCTTTAATACAATTTTCCACTGTAGTTTGTGAGCAAGCCATTCGTCTCATAAGTCAACGTACCATGAGAATGATTTTGAGACTGATATTTCAAGGTAAAATACATACATGCATTTGCTTTAAAGTGGAAAAATATTTTGTGAAATGGTCACTTATTCAGCATTGTATTTGATGAGTCTCCATGTGCAGTATTCTCCAATTGTGGAGACTTTAAATGAGACTGCATTTATCGTATAGTGTTTTCAAACTGTATAATGAGAAAAAAAAATCCACTAAAATGTAATGTACATCTAAATACAGCACCTAATTCCAGAGCATCTACAAAGTTAAATGAGGGCCGTCCATCTGTTGGTATGAGCTTGTGAAGGTTTAAAATAAGAACAGGAGACTCTGGCTTCCCTCTGAACATGTTTAAATTCTACAAATGCCTTTTAATTTTATACGTAGGCGGGCTTATATTTAGTGAAGGCTTGCATTTATTTGGAGTTGTGTATACGTGCATCCTCAGGTCTACAGTCAGCTGAGCTCACCACATTGTCAGTGCAAAGTACAAAGATAGACACACTCATTATCTCACTCAGTTGTTTAAACTTTAACATATTTAAAAGAGCTGACTCTATTATCAGTGTTTTTATATTCAGAATGGAATCTGGGGTGGGTTTTTGTTAAATGTGAGCCAAAATCATCACAATTAAAAGAACCAAAGACTTAAACTACTTCAGTCTGTGTGCATTGAATTTATTTAATACACGAGTTTCACAATTTGAGTTGAATTACTGAAATAAATGAACTTTTCCACGACATTCTAATTTATTGAGATGCACCTGTACACTCTTATATACATTCCTATTACTGTCCTCCTCCAGCAGCATCAAACATCTTCTTCCTGCCCTCCATACCAGACATGGCCTCAACGTTCTTACGCCAGTCGCCCACCTCCGTCGATATAACCTGACAAAACAGAAATGCAGTGTGCAGTTACTGAAAAACTGAAAATATCTTTCCTTTCCTTTATTCTCTTGAATCTCTAAAAACCCTGTCAAGGATGCTTTTTAGGACAATTAATCATTTTTTGCAGCAAGTAGGCATATTTGTCCCAATTCTTCATGAATGTAATAAAAAATTATATTCTATTTAAAGTACTATCCCCCGGTTTCACAGACAAGGCTTAAGCCTAGTCCCAGACTAAAGTGTAAGTCTGAGCAGTTTTAACTGAAAGGAACTTGCACTGATTGATCTTAAAATATATCATTGCCTCGGTTTTGTCTCAAAATGCACACCAGTAATGATTTTTCTAAAGCACGTTAATAAAAATGACCTAAATGTCCTAATTGAACGATTGCCTAGTCCTGGCTTAGTCTAAGCCCTGTCTGTGAAACCAGGCCTATGTGTACTGTGTTATAGACTAACCGAGACTTGTCACAGCACTTATTGCTTTTTTTGGTTGGTTTTGATTGTTTCTGTTGTCCTCATTTGTAAGTCGCTTTGGATAAAAGCATCTGCTAAATGACTAAATGTAATGTAATGCTTATTTGTTGTGTTCTGTTTATTTTCCTAAATAAAAACATTAAAAAAATGACATGACCAAAGTACAAATTAATCTGAATCTAATGATAATCACCTTTAAGAATAACAGGAATTATAACAAAAAAAAGCTAAATGTTTTAAGAGGGACAATGATCTTAACTGTCATGAAAGTAATGTCACAATGCAAAAAAAAAAAAAAGTTTATTTTAAAATATAAATATATATTCATATTAGTGCTGTCAAGCGATTAATCACGATTAATCGCATCCAGAATAAAAGTTTTTGTTTACATAATACATGTATGTGTGCTGTGTATATTTATTATGTATATATAAATACACACAAATGTATGTATATATTTCATAAACATATGTTGTTTATATATTAAATATATTTATTTATAATATAAATTATATGAATATAAATACAGACATGTAAATACATGTAAATATTTTCAAAATATATGCTGTATGTGTGTGTATTTATATATAAATATATTTATATATTGTATTTATTTATATGTGTATTTATATATAAATAAATATACACAGAACACACATATATTATCCAAACAAAAACTTTTATTTTGTATGTGATTAATCGGTTGACAGCACTAATTCATATATATTATGTTTATTTATATGATTTTCCACCATGGGATCAAAAAATCAAATCAAATAAAAAAGGTATTGTAACTTTTTATCTCACAGTTCAGACTTTTTTCCTCACAATTGCGAGTTTATGTCTCACAATTCCAATTCTCAGAATTTCAAGTCTCACAGTTATGATTTTATATCTCGCAGTTTCTCAGAATTGCAAGAAAAAAATTCTAAAATTGTGAGATAATAAGAGTCGCAATTAATTGTTTTTTAATCACATGGTGGAATCGAGCTTCCATAGTAATGTGACTTCATGTTTTGGTGAGTTTCACACATTAGTCAATGTGGGTTAGAGCATGCAGGTGTACCTTCTCTTGTTTAATGTCTTCTTTCTTCACAGATTTGAGGTTGGCTCTGAGGTCCATGGAGCCCTTGTGTTTGGAGCCCAGCAGCGCTCTCATCATCTCATCCGCAGACACACGCACCTTCCTCAGGGCAGGTTTCTTAAACTTCCCTCCTAAATCTTGCACCTTCAGCTTCAGCTCATGGATCTTTCAGACACAGACACCGTGTTCATTACAGAAACTGTCATCTAATATTAGTTTAAGTTTAGAAAAGGTACATTTTATTTACTCACATCTCTGTTGTTTTTATTCACTTTGGCCTCAAAGTCGTATCTCTCCTCATCCACTACATCGATTTTGGAATTGAATTGCCGACACAGTTTCTGGACACATACAAAATTATAATTACAAAATGACTAGTATTACTATTTAACATGTTTTTTTTATGATTTGTGGTTTCATGATTTAAGTCAGCAAATCACTAAAATAACACAAATGGAAAGTTGACTAGTTGAAATAAAAACATAAAAAAATGACATGACCAAAGTACAAATTAATCTGAATCTAATGATAATCACCTTTAAGAATAACAGGAATTATAACAAAAAAAAGCTAAATGTTTTAAGAGGGACAATGATCTTAACTGTCATGAAAGTAATGTCACAATGCAAAAAAAAAAAAAAGTTTATTTTAAAATATAAATATATATTCATATTAGTGCTGTCAAGCGATTAATCACGATTAATCGCATCCAGAATAAAATTTTTTTTGGTGAGTTTCACACATTAGTCAATGTGGGTTAGAGCATGCAGGTGTACCTTCTCTTGTTTAATGTCTTCTTTCTTCACAGATTTGAGGTTGGCTCTGAGGTCCATGGAGCCCTTGTGTTTGGAGCCCAGCAGCGCTCTCATCATCTCATCCGCAGACACGCGCACCTTCCTCAGGGCAGGTTTCTTAAACTTCCCTCCTAAATCTTGCACCTTCAGCTTCAGCTCATGGATCTTTCAGACACAGACACCGTGTTCATTACAGAAACTGTCATCTAATATTAGTTTAAGTTTAGAAAAGGTACATTTTATTTACTCACATCTCTGTTGTTTTTATTCACTTTGGCCTCAAAGTCGTATCTCTCCTCATCCACTACATCGATTTTGGCATGGAGTTGCCGACATAGTTTCTGGACACAAAATTATTACTACTACTACTATTTTGCATGTTTGTGAATAATATTTAAGTTATCAAATCTAAATAACTAAAATAACACAAATGGAAACATGCAAGCTGTGAGGTGACTGAAAAAATAGAAATTGTTCAATTTGAGCAAGACTACACTCTAAAAAATGCTGGGTTAAATATAACCCAGCGCTGGGTTAAAAAGGGACAAACCCAGCTACTGGGTTGTTTTGACCCAGCTGTTGGGTTGTTTTGACCCAGCGGGTGGGTTGTTTTGATCCAGCGGTTGGGTTGTTTTGACCCAGCGGTTGGGTTGTTTTGACCCAGCTATTGGGTTGTTTTGACCCAGCGGTTGGGTTGTTTTGACCCAGCGGTTGGGTTGTCCCTTTTTGGGTTTGTCCCTTTTTAACCCAGCATTTTTTAGAGTGTAGATTCCAGCTTCACAAGAAACATTAAATTAGCCAAGTGAGTTCAAGCTGGTAATATAATAATTTTAAATGTAAATAAACATATTAAGTACTAAAAAAAATTTAATTATTAAAAATTTCCTAAAAATATAGAAAGAAACATATAAATAATTCTCTAGCGTTTTGGTCAGTGTCTGTCACTCTGTATATCTTGATGAAGTTGTATTTTACAAACCTGCAACTCCTCCATTGAAAGGCCGGTTAGCTGAAGAGGTGGAAGCTTATCGCTCAGATATTTCACCTTGTCCTCATCGCGATTGATCTTCTCCTGTTCCAACTCCTCAATGGCTCTTTGGAGCAAAAGGATCTGAGAAAACAGAACGTAAATAGACATTCTGTAGGTTCAAACAACAACAACAACAACAAAACTGGCAATCAGTATATCTGCCACATGTACATTTACTTTTTGACTTCTGAAAAAGTGTAGAACACACACACACACACACACACACACACACCCCACTATCATACCTTCAAGGAAAGTTTTAGAGATGCAGAAATCTTAGACTTCGGCTAAAAAAAAATGAGAACAAATTTAATCCCAATTTTTATGCATTATATTCTGTTATTCAACAATGTAGAAATCAATGTATATTTCACAATATCGTAATCACAATACCTTGGCTTGCACTCGAGGGGGCAATGGAGTAGGAGGCTTTTGATGATACACAAAAATTAAATAACAAATTGGAATAAAAATACACAGTATAAATCACATTATCCTTATCAGAAAATTATTGTATAATGTAATTAAAGCTTTTATCCCTTTACTCTAATTTCATTAGATGTAATCAAAGTTATGTTTATTGGTGGTTGCAAAGAGAACAGAGAAGAAAATAATATAAAATAAATAACTATACAAAGATGTTTGTTCATGCCATGTACATGAAAAATAATGCATAAAACACTTACTCGTCCGCCATTGTGAAACCTGTAAAATCAAATATATGAAAACAAAAATAAAAACAAACAATTACGATTAGTTGCAATCACAATACTAAACTAAATCAATTTCTTGATCCGCATTGAGAGATGTCTAGGAAAGTAGTAGCTGACACAGAGAGATTTGTTACATGAGGTGTTGCCTGTGGGTCAAGACAGCTTCTGAAAGCACAAACAGGACAGAGACAATTGTTTTTTTATGTGTGACAGGCAGCAGCTTTGTAATTTTAGCTCACAGACACAGGAATGAGAATGAATGGGCAGCTGTCCTCAACATACCAGAGTGCTGTGTGTGTGTGTGTGTGTGTGTACCTACTTAACCATATTTTGGGGACAAATTTGTACCCAAAAGTGAGCTAAACCTGACAAAATCTCCAAAAACCTCCCTTTGGGAACGTCCTCGTTTGTAAAACTGGTATAAAAATAAAGTAAACAAAGTTAAGCAATTCAAAGCCTAAAACAGCATATGACTCAAAATACATTTTTATATGCATCTCAAATGTATCATAGCAAACAAAAACGGCACATCCTATAATGGGAAATTGTGAAAAAGAACAGGTAAGTATAAGGAAAACTCCAACATCAAAAAAGGACAGGCAGACACATCTGTAAATTACAGAACACGGCGGGTCATTAAGTCTTCACCTCTTTAAAGCAGATACTGTATATTACAGTCAAATAACAAGACATTGCATAAAGCAAACGTCTCCATCCATTAGTCATAGGTCAGAACAATCAGCACCTGCTCACCCTCACGTTCATAAGCAAACCTCACTTCCATTCTAATTTTAAACACCATTTGCCCACCCAGGACCTAAAATATTATCCCAGTGTTTGAAACACATATTGTTCTTTAAAGGAATAGCTCACCCAAAAAAGAAAATATACAGAAACTTTACTTTCAGGCCATCCAAGATTTGGAGAGATGTAGCATTGCAGCACTTGCACACCAATGGATCCTCTGAATGGGTGCCGTCAGAATGAGAGTCCAAACAGCTGATAAAAACATCACAAGTAATCCACACCACTCCCGTCCATCAATTAACATCTTGTGAAGCAAAAAGCTGTGTGTTTGTAAGAAACAAATCCATTATTAAGGCATTTTGACTTTAAATCATTGCTTGTTGCCAAAATACGAGTTCAAAAAATCCATTCCCTGTTGTCCTCTCACATCAAGATCCACCAGATTAATCAACACTGAACTGACATGAGCTGAATAATGACACTATTGATACTATGACACTGAGAGCATGCTTTATGGGTGAAGTTGTATTCGTTTCATAATTGAAGAACTTTGCCACATTAAAACTGTTATTTTCTTGTTTATTTCTCTGAAGCTGCTTTGAAACAATCTGTACTGTGACTTGACTTGCGGCTAAATCCTTGACTCTTGATTGTTTTGAATACAAAAGCCGCTGTCAGGACCATTTGGACTGTTGCACATTTTCATCCACAATAAGGTCAAGAAATCTCACAAAACTTTTACTTGCAGGTTATTTGTTTACCAAAAAGTCCTTTGGGATTCAGTGAGGAAGAACTTTCTGTTGAAGGTGTATGATCTATTTATTCAGTAACCTTTCCATATGGAGAGCTGAGGCATGTCTGCTTCCCAGGTCATGTATTGCTCTGCCGCTTCGCCTGTCCGTCTGGCACTGACTGGCAGACTCTACGGGCGAATGGTTTCGGCAGCTTGGGGTGTCAGGAATATCTCTCATGCCTCCCCTGGCATATATGATCCAATATTAGCACATTTCCACCCAAGTCAGCTCAATGAGGTGAAAACCCCTCTGATCCGAGGGTTCATTTAAAACTAAGCCGATATTTACGAGATATCAAATTGATCCTTAGAACAGAAGCACATAAACATACTACTTATCCCGCTAACACACACATACAAACTGCGTGCACACAAATGATGACACTCATGCATACAAAAATAGTCTTTGATGACAATAAATCAGGTGTGGATTTTAGGTAACATGATGCCTGCTTATGTAAGAGTTAATGTTAGACACAAACTGGGTCATTTCTGTAATAGGCCTAAGGGCCCGTTCACACCAAGAATGATAACTATAAAGATAGAAATATAATGCTAACTATATTAGCATCCATGCAAACAGATGATAAAATCCTGTTTATTATAAGCGTGCACTGCAGTTTTGTCATTTGCCGCTTTAAATGCTTGAGCTTTTTAAAACAGGATGGATTCTGATTGGCTGTCAATGTATTATCGTTCATCAGATGAAAATAAATAATTCTGAAAGTGAATACTTTGGTGATTTTATAAAAAATAGGCTGCATGGGGCCAATCTGCTAACAATGAGGTGAACCCAGAGATATTTTACATATATTAATTACTTGAATACTTTTATTTATTGTCTCTCTGTAATAGTACTGTTTTCACATGAACAAGGTGACTGCAGTTAGGCGTGTATGTATATATCTATATATGTATGTATTTTTTTATATTATTATACCAGTTTTTGTAATTTATCATTCAAAATGTAATGTTTTAAAATGTGAGACAAACCAACTAATATTACAAAACATCAGAGGATTAATCAAATCTGTTGCTAATAGAGCTGTTTATTCAATAGGCTATGGTCCAACTAATAATATTTTTTAAATATATACTTTTTAACATTTTAAAAATGTACTGTTTCAAACTTTATCCAATATATTACAACATAATATGAACATGAGCTACACATATTTGAATGACCCACTTATTAATAGGTGCAAGTATACCTATGTGCTTTATGCTTTATAAAAGTATGTGTGTTTACACATGCTACACAGGAGGATAGCAGTGAATCACGCAATGGCAGTGGCAATGGTTTTATTCTTATTCCGAAGTCACCGTAGCCACCCAGATCCAGTCCGTATCCAGATCAGATGGTCACTGCAGTCACCTGGATCCAGTCCGTATCCAGTCCAGGCGACCTCTACAGCTCTGAATGTCAGCGGAGACCATGTCAAGAGACAGATCCCCTGTGAAGACCTCGTTGGTCATCGGCACAAGACCACGAGAACCAGACGAGTCCTCTGGTTAATCTGACGTGCGTTGCAGCCTGGAATTAAACCACACCATGCTGGTTTTGTCTGGCCAGAGGAGAACTGGCCTCCTGACTGAGTCTGGTTTCTCCCAAGGTTTTTTTCTCCATTTCTGTCACTGATGGAGTTTTGGTTCCTTGCCACTGTCGCCTTTGGCTTGCTTAGTTGGGGACGCTTAATTTCTGGCAACATTTTGACTTGACTGCACAGACACTATTGGAAGAGAGCTGAACTGAGCTGGATGATGACGTCACTGAATCAACAACGAACTGACTATAACTGATAAACTGACTGTTTTCTATTGTCCTCTTGCATTATCAGCACACACTTTTCCTTTTTTACACTGTAAAGCTGCTTTGACTCAATTGTATAAAGCGCTATATAAATAAAAGTGACTTGACTTGACCCAGTGGGGTAGCAGTGTGTAATAATAGTAGACTAATAACAGGCCTGGCTGCACCATCCACTGGCTTATTTGGCTCTGAATGCAATGGAATTAGTTTTAAGACTCTGACTTTTAATCCTGGACACTTCAGTGCTTATTTGTGCAGTTATTTTATTAAGATTTAAAGATAGATATTGTATAATGGCCAAAACTTTGGATGAAAGTGAAAAGTATTTTTTTAAAAAGCACGCATATGGCCCAAAAACACACGTGCGAATGGCGTGAATGTCCTTGACCCGGATGTGCTTGCTTTGACTTTCCCGCCCCTCCCACCTGCGCGAGCGATGCGCCTGATCCTGGGCGCGCCGTTTCATCTGACAGACGAATTTATTTTTAAAATTAGCCGCATAAACATAAAAATTTTGATATGATTGCGATCAAAATGCTTCACGGAATCGACGATGCGCCTTCCTGAGATCTAATTATGACAGAAGAAGCGTTTTAATCGGCGCGAGGATCGATGGAGAGACTTTAATGTCAGATTGAACCGCTAAGGTGAAACTCTGGTGAGCTGACAGGATCAAAAACACTACAATAATCTAATTTAGCTGAACAGTTTATAAGAAAATGATTCAATAAACACGCCTTTGTGTCCAATATAATACTGCTGTGATTTATAAACAATGTGAATGCAACTAAACTGCTCACTGCCTGATCCATACTGAGATATGCGTATATTCATTACATTAGAATTATTATCGAATTATTTCTTCGATAAATGGTTTTGGTGTTCTGGTGTAATATAATACTTGGGAGATTTTATATATACAAAAGCTGAATGGTACCAATCTGCTAACCACAAGGTCAACCCAGAGATATTATACAAAAATTTAATTACTTGTATAACGTTACTTTAATTGTTGCATCAACATTATGCAAAGATCATGTTTTCATGTCTAACTGTTCTGTGGTTTTACATGAAAAACCGTAAAAGTGATTGCAGTTATTCAGATACATGCATTCATTATATGTAACTTAATTGGTTATTTTGGGGAATGTGTGAGAAATTAATCATAAATTGGTTTATTCTTTGACTAATCTTGTTATTATGTACCTAACGTTACATGTTATAATAAGCAAGGTTTGACTAAATATTTTAAAATCTAATCTAAAAATGTTAATTATATTTATATTTATTTCTGTTCAACATGTTATGTTAATATATATTATATATATATTAATTATATAGGGCTAATTATTTATGTGAGTGCGTGTTTATTTTATATAAGGCTTTCTATCTGCATCTGTAGTCTCTGGCCTTTCTGTCCGCCCTCCAATCTGTCAAAGGCACCTGTTGTGATCACCTGTTTCAAGCGTCCCTGTCAGTGTATGGATGTGGGTCAGGTTGCTTAGTGTCTATTTTTTGTTTTCTGCCTCGATCCAGTGTGCAAACTGTATGTTTGTGTTTATGTATGTTTAAATAGATGAATAATGCCTGGGAAGTTAAAGGCGAAGATTGTTGCCGGGCGGCACCTGCCTGTCATGGACCGTGCCAGCGATCTCACAGACGCCTTTGTGGAGGTCAGTCAATTGTCAGTCTGTTAATGAAGTCACTTTGCTATGCACATTCGATCAAAAATGCTGCTTAAGTAGTATGTCCCTTGATTTATCATAGAGCAGCACTTATGAAGTGTCGTTCCACAGGTGAAGTTTGGAAACACAACATTTAAAACGGATGTGTACCCCAAATCCCTGAATCCTCAGTGGAATTCAGAGTGGTTCAAATTCGAGGTAAGGTCTTTCTACTTGTCCTGCTTTAGGTTGTATTTTTGTGGAGTTTATTCTCTCTGTTTATCTTTCCTTTACCCCTCAGGTGGATGATGAGGATTTGCAGGATGAGCCGTTGCAGATAACTGTTCTTGACCATGACACATACAGCGCTAATGATGCCATAGGAAAGGTGTACATCGACATTGATCCACTGCTCTGCAGTGAAGCTGCTACTGTCATTTCTGGCTGGCTCCCCATCTACGACACTATACATGGTGTGTGTCCACAAGCAAATTTAGTCTGTAATATTAAAGAGTTCTGACTTATTTTGTTTTAATGATATGCTTGTGTTCAGGTATAAGAGGGGAAATCAACGTTCTGGTGAAGGTGGATCTCTTCAACGACCTGAACCGCTTCAGACAGTCTTCATGTGGGGTTAAATTCTTCTGTAGTAAGTATCTAGATCATCTGCTTCCATATCCTCCTGTGTAGCTCCTTCTTTTCTTTCTCCCCTCTGACGTTCTGTTTCCTCCACTTTCTGCCCTGCTTTGCTCTCCTTATTGTCTTTATTTTGTCATTCTCAATGAATTTTCATTCACATTCTGGTTCTGTCTCTCTATTTCTTCAGCAACATCCATTCCCCGATGTTACCGGGCCATTATGGTACATGGCTTTGTGGAAGAGCTTGTGGTAAATGAGGATCCAGAGTACCAGTGGATCGACCGTATCAGAACCCCTCGTGCGTCCAACGAGGCCAGACAGAGACTCCTCTTTCTCATGTCAGGTACTAATATTTTTGAGGGGTCATGTGGCACTGAGGACTGAAGTAATGGCTGCTGAAAATTCATCCTTTTCATCACAGGATATATATTACATTTTAGAATATTTTTAAAATAGAAACCAGTTAATTTAAATTGTAGTCATATTTTACAATATTACTGTTTATAGTGGTTTTTGATCAAAGAAATGCAGCCTTGGTAAGCATATGACACTTATTTAAAAAAATATAAAAAGTCTTGCCAACCTAGATCTAGGACTTTTGGATAGCACAGTATATGCCTATTGATCTACTCTGACTAAGTGTACTTTAAGTTGCTTTGGATAAGATCATCTGCTAAAAGATGACTTACTAGAAGACTGCTTACTGTGTCTCTGGAGATAAGTGCATGTGCAATATGAGACACTCCTGTCAATATTTTCATGTGGTGTGTGTGTAATTGCATTTGTGTTTCTGTTGTAGGTGAATTGCAGAGGAAGATTGGTCTGAAGGTGCTGGAGATGGGAGGGAATGCAGTGGTGGGGTACCTACAATGTTTTGACCTTGAAGGAGAATCAGGCCTTGTGGTTCGTGCTATTGGGACAGCCTGCACACTTGAGAAAATCAGCACATTCCCTGCCACAGCCACATACCCCAGCAACTCCTCTCCTTCAAAAGACATGAAAGAGTGAGTGTCGCCTACGCACACACATATGCACGCATCGTTTTTAAATAGATTTGGAAATTGCTGCTTTTTTTCTAACAGCTATCCTAGTTCATCTGCAGTACATTAGATTAGATTTTTTTGCACTGAAAATAAGAATTGAATTTTGGATTAGAAATGAACGTGATATTTATGCATTTAGCAGACGCTTTTATCCAAAGCGACTTACAGTGCATTCAGGCTATACATTTTTTACCAGTATGATATATGGGTTATTATAGAATTCACAATGAATCCATTGAATTTTCTATCCCTTTAATGAAAGTAAAAATAGAGGCTGTTAGTTTTGAATTTTCAGTCAATGTATATTACTGTTCAAAAATTTGGGGTTGGCAACATTTTTGTAGAAGTCTTATGCTCATCAAGTTGCATTTATTTGATCAAAAATACAGTAAAAAGAGTAATATTGTGAAAGATCAAAAGAACAGCATTTATTTAAAATTGTAACATCATGAATGTCTTTGCTGTCATGTTTACTGACTCCAAACTTTTGAATGATAGTGTATTATGATTTAGATTTTCATCTATTTTTTTAGCAGACATTTTTGTTCAAGGCAATTTGTTATTATTTAAATAATTTATTAAAATGATCTAACAATTACAATTACTCTCTGTTTTCTGTTTATATTCGTAAATGAGTATGAGGGTGTGTGAGTGTATTTGTTTTATGAGTTGCTGTTTTATAAGTTCTACAGAAATGCATTCTCAACACACAAACATACCACACCTCAATCTTGTTCTCCCCTGCATGTCCTCTATCTCCCTCTTGCTCTTACTGTCTGTTTCTTTGGCGTTCCTGCATGCTGCATCTCTCCTGCACCAGCATGTGTTTGCGTCAGACGGCTAAAAGTTTAAATGCTGTTCGGTTGTGCATTTTCAAACTAGGCGTTTTTTGCATCTGGACTGCTGCCTTGAGTCTGTTGTGTTTTGTGTTTGTGTTGTCTCGTCCCGTTCCCTCTAGGGAGCTAAGAATGTTTGAACGGCTGTGACCTGCCTAACTAGACAGCACTTTTGCCGCTGTCTAGGTAGTCAGCTCACTAGGTTGTGAGATGCAGCCAAAAAGGACTTTTCCTGCCGTCTGTTCTCCATGCAGTCTGCCTTGGGTGTGTGCGCGTGCATGTTTGTGTATGTCATTGTTATATGTGTCTTTGCGTTCTCTGTGAATGTACAGTACACAGTGTGTGTTTGTTTAATGTATGAAATATGCGTGAATGTGTGTGTGTGTGTGTGTGTAGCTCTCCGCAGGCTGCTCCTTCCACTCTCGGATGTCGTTCCACACACAGCAGTCCAGTTCACAGTGCGAGCAGTCGTCTTTCTCAGGGCTTCTCCGTTTCTGTGCCAACACTGCTGTTCGCCGGTATGAAACCCAGACACAGGAGCTCAGAAGCCCCCAGAGCCAGGCAGTGTAGGCAGGTACCCCACGACCCCCATGACCCCGTCACGACCCTGCCACGGACCTGTCACCCCGTTCTTCATTGGCAAGACAGCTATGACATCACCAGCCCCCCTCTCCTTCAGCTGCCAAAGCAACCTTGTTTACAGCTTAAAAATGCCTCTGACCAATGAGTAAGCTGCATTCAGCTGTCATTCAAAGAGTATATCCAATCAGAGGTGTCGGTTGGCTTCTGTGTTTTTAAGTTGTTTGTGTACGTACCTTTTTTTTCAGGCAGGGTTGTTGAATTTTACATTTTGGCCTTGTGAAGGCATTAGTCGACCCTTGTTATCAAAGCGTTGTGCTTTGGTTGGCTGAAACACGCTTCTTGTTCATCTCATTTGCGTCCTGCCTCTTTTTTTTGGTTTTCACAGTGTTTGATTTTATTTTTTCTCCATTTTTTTTGTTTTTGCCCACTACCATAAAGCGCTTTCCTCTCTTCTTAACATCCTCACACGCTCTACCCTTTCAGCAGCAAGCAGTCAGCACTCTTTCTTTTTTTCTTTCTTTCTCAAAACCGGTAAGATACCCAACCTCACCTGACCTCTGGCACTCTACCAGACTCTCTCTGTCTCTCTGCATGGACCTTGATTTTAATCAATATTAGCGACTGACCCTGGTGTCAAGGCAGAGGGTGTAGGGCCCAGTGTCTCTCTTTATTTTGGTCTAATTTTGTGTTTCCATGGACCTTGATTTTAATCAATATTAGCGACTGACCCTGGTGTCAAGGCAGAGAGGCAGAGGGTGTAGGGCCCAGTGTCTCTCTTTATTTTGGTCTAATTTTGTGTTTAATTCATTTATGTTTGTTGTGTTGTCCTTTCATTATTACTTTATCTGTGTGTGTGAGATGTTTATTTTTATTTTACTCAAGGCTGTGATCTCGTATTTTGTACATTTGGAATCTGTGAAGAAAATCAACTCTACCATGCCTTCCTTATGTGAATCAGCCCCTTCTAAAGGACTTTAGTTCTGTTTTTCATTTTTTATTTTATGCATGTTTGTCTACTTATTTTTCACTATCTTTCCAGGGATGCAAACTACTTGCTTTTATTCAAAATCCTCAGTTTGTTATACAAAATAGGTCACTTATTCCCAAAATGGAAGTTCTGTCATTATTTAGCCTCATTCATGTTGTTTTAAACCTATATTACTTTATTTTTCTTCTATGGAACGTAAAAGAAGATATTTTGAGAACTGTCTTTTTTTTCTCCATACAATGGAAGTCGATGAGGTTCAGTGTTGTTCTTCAAAATATCATCTTCTCAGCATTCTTCAGAATAACTTTGTTTGTGTTCCACAGAAGAAATGAATTCATACAGGTTTGGAATGACATGAGGGTGAGTAAATGATGACAGAATTAAAATTTTTGGGAAAACCATCCCTTTAACATGTGGCCTCTGAAGAGGTATTTTTGTGAAGCAGATGTAAGGTTAATATTAAGGGTGCTCCGATCAGGATTTTTTGGGCCGATCACTGATTGTCGATCACAGGATGCAGTATCTGCCGATACCGATCACTGATACCGATCTTTTTGAAGCCTTCTTTTTATCATGTCGAATTATTTATAGTGATGCTCCAGTCAGGATATTTACAGACATTCATTCAGGGCCTGAATTTCATTTTTGAAAATGGGGGGAATTCCCCTCTTAGGTGACTTCTTTGGGGGGGATTTGAGGGGTGGAGGGGGGCTTTTTTTTTCTTTTCTTTTTTTACATTTTTCAAAAATATATAATTATCTCACCTACATGTTTGATCATGCAGTGCATTTTTGTTTTTATAATGGGGCAATTGTTGCACAATATCTTACACACAACACAAGCCTGATTTTGTGAGCTGTATGTGAGGCGGCCTTACGCCAGGTTCACACTGACTCCGTTTGCAGTGCGTATGCAGTCAATGTGCAGTACGTAAGTGGTGCAGAAGCAGCAAGGACTCAAATTGTGCTTTCACACAGGATCGAGTCCGCCACTGATCCACGGCTGTTTACCACAAACAACATTTATCCATTTTGTTTTTAAATCCAAACGTTGTTACTGAAAATGCTTTTTGAGCACTGTGATTCTCTTTTTACGCAGTACAGTAATACAATCTTTCATAGATGTGTTTAAACGCAATAAATATAAGCAAGAGTATGTGTGAACCTGCCGTTATGTGTGCGCGCTTTGAGTGTGCACTGTGCATGAGCGCACCGCCTCTAGGAGAGCGCGCAAGTGCTGTGTTTAACCACTGGCAAGAATTAAAAAGAAATGAAAATTATAAACTTTAGTGACGATGCAACACTGCCTCGATTGTGCAAGTGACAATTCCTGTGTGAACTGTGCAGCTCACTTATAGTGCAGACGCAGTGTGGTGATTTGAAGCCATTTGCGCATTTGGAGAGGGAAAGAGAGAGAGCGTGCGGTGATTCACTCATGCTGTTTGTGAAATTACTATGACTTGTGGCCAATATTCTGAAGTCATAAGATAGCTTTGTATGAGGAGCAGACCGTTAATTGATAATTCACCTCTGAAATGGATTACAAAAGTCATTCTGACAGAAATTTCAGTTTTGGAAAAACTGCAGCTTATACCGTCAAAAAAACACCCTGCTGGAAATAAAACCCTTGGAAAACCATTTTATTTACCTCTCATCAGTTTGCATCCCCATCTGTTGTGTAGTTCAGTCACCCCTTATTTTTTTTCTCATGATGTCTTCATACCTGTCCTCCCCAAACTTCTCTCTCATTCTTTCTCTGTCAGTGGGGATATTTCTGTGTCCCAGTACTCCCGCCCTTGAGTCTGAATCATCTCCCCTCCCTTCTGCCCATCTGCCCCTTCACTTACGGCCAAGGATGGCCTCTAGGAGTTCAACTCCTCCCCCACTCCATGTCAGCCAATCAGACACAGCCCTGCTGAGTAAGAGCGTGTCTTTCAGTGAGGAACTGCTGCTGGCGGCCTATGGTAGGACACACCCACTGCTGTCCCCATGACCTTTTACCCTTGGTGCTGTGACTGCATCCAGTGTGACCACACCATCCTCTGTGCTGTCCACTGGCAGAATATCATGTCCGTCGCTGGATAAATCAAATTAACAAATGGATTTTTATCTCATTTGCCCACATCTTTTGACAAATGCACTCTGAGTGCATGTTATGATAGAGCGGTGTGGTTTAATGTCTTCTAAGCTCTCTGATTAACAAAACCCCACTTGCATGAGTTCTTTTAGCCTGACTGCAGGTTAGATTTCTCTGCCAACGGAATAAAAATAAAAAACATGTTCATAGTGACCATGTCTGTCAAGCTCAACAAAAAAAAAGTCACCATAAAGCACAATTTTTGTAGTCCATATGACTTGTGGCCAATATTCTGAAGTCATAAGGTTTTTAATCTGGAGCAGTTAATTGAGAATTCACCTCTGAAATGGATTAAGGAAGTCATTCTGACAGAAATGTCAGTTTTGGAAAAACTACAACTTATACCTTCAAAACCAACCTGCTGGAAATAAAACCCTTGGAAAACCATTTTATTTACCTCTCATCAGTTTGCATCCCCATCTGTTGTGTAGTTCAGTCACCCCTTATTTTTTTTCTCATGATGTCTTCATACCTGTCCTCCCCAAACTTCTCTCTCATTCTTTCTCTGTCAGTGGGGATATTTCTGTTTCCCAGTACTCCCGCCCTTGAATCTGAATCATCTCCCCTCCCCTCTGCCCATCTGCCCCATCACTTATGGCCAGGGATGGCCTCCAGGAGTACAACTCCTCCCCCACTCCGTCTCAGCCAATCAGACAAGAATATCATGCCCGTCGCTGGATAAATCAAATTAACAAATGGATTTTTATCTCATTTGCCCACATCTTTTGGCAAATGCACTCTTGAGTGCATGTTATGATAGAGCGGTGTGGTTTAATGTCTTCTAAGCTCTCTGATTAACAAAACCCCACTTGCATGAGTTCTTTTAGCCTGACTGCAGGTTAGATTTCTCTGCCAACGGAATAAAAATAAAAATAGCGGCCTTCTGTCGTCTCTAGTTGGCTGGTTCCAAAAATCTAATTTCCTAGTGCCTGGGATCTGAGCTTGTGTGTCTGAAACTGTATATTAATTGTGCTTTAATCTGTCAAAAAGTGATAACTTGATGAAGTTGCCCAGCTAGTGAATGAGTAGAGTACTTTTTTTTGCCTGCGATAAATGTTATTTCTTAAAAGTCTCTGAATGTTTAAAATGTGTTCATACGTGCATTACTTTAATGTTTTATGCAGCTAATGCCATTATTACATTTTTAAAATGGATGTGAACATATCCAATTTGATTTGAGATATGTATTAAGATTACACGGTCTTTATATTAGACTGCTGCTGCTCTACCTAGCAGAGTGTAGAAAATCACTTTTTGGCAAAAAAATAAATAAGGCTATATCCACCAAATGAATTACACTACTGTTCAAAAGTGTCAGGACAGTAAAGACGTTTATAAAGTTACAAAAGGTTTCTATTTCAAATGCTGTTTTTTGTTAACTTTATAATTATGAAAGAATCCTCAAGGCTTCCCCAAAAAAATACTACACAGAACAACTGTTTTCGACATTGATAATAATAGATGTTTCTTGAGTAATAGATGTCTCCTTCTTCTCATCAAATCAGCATATTATAATGATTTCTGAAGAATCATGTAACACTGAAGACTACAGTAATGGCTGCAAAACTTGTAATCATATGTCACAATATAACGGTCTTGTTGAACATAAGAGATTTCTTTAAAAAAAATCTTACTGAACTTTTGAACGATAGTGTATATTAACACCATGTTGTATATGGTGTTAATGTTAATGATATTTGATATATTGTACAGCACCTTGGTCAACAATTGTTGTTTTTAGTGACAGTAATGGCTGCAAAATTTGTAATCATATGTCACAATATAACGGTCTTGTTGAGCATAAGAGATTTCTTTAAAAAAAATCTTACTGAACTTTTGAACGATAGTGTATATTAACACCATGTTGTATATGGTGTTAATGTTAATGATATTTGATATATTGTACAGCACCTTGGTCAACAATTGTTGTTTTTAGTGGTGCTATATAAATAAAGCAGAGTTGAGTTGCGTTAACCATTTTTATATGCACATAATTTCCCTATTAAGGTATTCTGGTGAAACCTTTATTTCCAAAAGAGGTCATATATGATCCATAGGTATTGGAATATTCCTGTATGCATGTTCGTTTCCTACTTTGACAACAGCAAAAGAGCACAATTTTTCACTCCAAAAAAAATCCAGTCAAAAGTTTGTGCTTGACATAAATTAGTGATTTGCTTACATGTCAAGGAATTCATATTAATTTGATCAAGAAACCAAAATATTAATAAAGACTTTAGGCTTAATTGGGTAAACATGCAATTTTAATTAATATAATATTATTAATATTATTCCAGTGGCACACAGAAGAGGTGAATGCATGGGTTATTGTAACATTGTGCACTGGGTTGTTTAGAAGTGATGTGCCGTTTACAGTCTTTAATTTCCCCTGAATTTCTCTCTTCTCCATCATGAACAGGAATGGGAAGTGGCGGCAGTGCAGGAAAGGAGGCGGGGCCTCTTAAAGCTCTTCTGAGGCAGCAGACCCAATCAGCACTGGAGCAAAGAGTAAGAAAAAGACACATTCACATGCATTTATAAATTCACAATTAATTTTATGCACAAAAGTGGAACTGGTGATTATGAGAATTATGTTTCTCCACTCTTTCGCTCTCTCACTGGATTTCAGGGGGTTTCATCATCCTCTGAAGCGTTTGTTAGAACAGGGGTATGTCTGGAGAGGGCATGCAAAATGTTTTCTGAATGTAGAATCTTTCATGTTTCCCAAACTCCTCCCTGTTTGAGAACTTTAAACTGGAAGACCCGCATCTCTTCTACTGTCCTAATGACTTCATTATCAAACCAATGACACATCGGTATCGTGACTATTGGTTTGGGGGCCATGTGGTTATGCACCCATTTCCAAGGAGAATATTCTAGAACCTTTGACAGGTGCTAGGAAGCTCTCATGTCTACCTGAAAGTCACAGTTTTGCTGTGATCTTTGTCTGGGGTAAAATGTCTTGTGAAATAATTAAATTAATGTAAATGAAGAGCCAGAGATCTTGAAGTCTGTGTCTTCATCCAGTCTGTGGATGAGAAAGAAACATGTACTGGGTAACAATTTTGTTGAGGCTTTTAATCAGGACTTTATGCATATTTATTATGTATTTGCAAACAGTTTATCAGAATGGTAAGTTATAATTAAAAGAGCCTTTATGAGCATCTTATTGCAACTTGTTACGCCACTTACATCTACTGGTAAGTCCTGATGTATTGCACTTAACAGAGTTTTTACCCAGTAAAAGAGCCTGTCTCCTACAGTGTCTGAATCTCTGTATCTCTGCATGAGTCTTGTGTTGCGATTGATAAATATTGACAATGTAATGGCATAACCCACAGGTTTCAATTTCTGTGCTTTAAAATCTTTAGATTTGTGGGAAAATGTCAGTACAGAAGTTCACCTGTCTTCATGTCCAGTGGGTCACCTGTGTCATTTCTGTATGATCCCTCCATCACCGTTCTGTGTGTTTCAGGAATACCCTTTCTTCACGTTGACCGCCTTCCCTCCTGGATTTCTCCTTCATGTGGGAGGCGTGGTCAGTGCGCGCTCAGTAAAGCTTCTGGATCGAATCCACAACCCAGGTAAGACGGCTCATATTATGCAAGCACAAACATAATCAAATACACCAAATATACCATACATTAACACAATTTAAAACAATATGAAACATAACAACTTCACTGTAGTAAGAGCAGAAACCAATCAGCAGATGTATTTATGAGGTAGTTTGGCAGTGTGCATGTTGTTGGTGAGGCTTTCGTTGTATTTTCTATTTCAGTTCTTTGTACATTGTATGTTCTGCATCACATGCACCATTTCTTGGCCTTAATGTTTGTCCTCTCAAGCATATAATGCTCTATTACTCTTATTTGTTAGAAGATTTTGAGACATGTCCCCTGAACATTACTTTTGCCTTTTGTATTTTTTTCACTATTAGCACATGCACAAAAAATACTTTTTGTAAACCCACAAATATCCTTTCTAGTCTGTACTAACAGTACATTATTGGGATGTATATATTGCCATAATACAATTTAATACAACCTTTAAAATATTGTATTATATTGTATAATATTTTAATATACATCTCTAATGGAAAAGTGGCAGGTTTTGGCAAGCTTCACTGCACTCTCATGAGGATTTTAATGCTCATCTAGGAAACGCAAATGCTTTGTGAATTTACAATTGTGTTTGAATTTTTACCACTATGAGGTTCCATAGTATTCAGAAAGTATTCATGATGCACTGCATAATTTTGTAAATAAATAAATGCTTGTCAGGGCAATCTTTTACATCTCCATTGCATAAATTTAATATAATAATTTTTGTCTCATAATACTTCTAATTCTCATTCCCTGCCCATCCTAGCACTTGTCTATCCTCAGTTTGACCCATTTTGTGATGCTGCCCATTGCAGTGATCTCTGATTGTATTTCTTTAAAATTTGCATGGATTCAAGCTTTAAGCTAACCAAGCTGTGCCATTACCAACTAATTTACATTTTGCATGCTGACTTGTTTCCAAATTAGCTATCACATGGAGAGGTTGTTATTTTGTATAGTGGAGTGTAATTAAAGGGAGAAAAACTTTAATTAAGCTCCGAACTAGAGCTCAGAAGGTGTCTGTTGTTTTATTTTCTTAATTGTAACTTATAGATGACTACAAACACACCCACAGTTGTTATTCCACAACATACAAATGAAACACATCTATTACTACATCTGCGTATGAATGTTTTAATAGTGTGTGTGTGCATTAATTAAAGCATGGTTTGGTTGAAGGAGCTGCTCATGTAGTTTTATTGTAGATGTGCTGGTTTAGAGCCTCTGACATAGTGCTGCTGCATGCTTTCTTCTCTATCTCTTTATCTCTCTTCTTCTTTTACCTCTTTCCCCCTCTTGATCTCTCCCAGACCTCTATATTCTACCTCTCTGTCCATCTCTTCTCTCGCTCTCGTTCTCGTGGCCACCCTCTCAGATAACTCTTGTCTGACTTTGCAGTTCCTGTGGAGTGGTGTTGTCCAGTGTTGTGTTCTTGTTTGTAGTTGGTGTTTGGTTTTCTTTTTCTTTTCTACTCTCTTTCTCTCTTTCTCTTTTTCTCTCCACTCCTTTAACCGATCTACTAATGTGGCGATTTGGGTCAGCCTTGGGTAACACCAGATCATACAAACTGCTAGACTGGAATAGTTTCACTGCAGGTACTTCCCTACCCTCAGTCCTGCTTTTCACACACAAACACACACACACACACACACATGCAGCCCCTGGCAGCTCAGCTGTTACAAACTTACCTAATGATTAATACATATTATCAGTTTTGAAAAAGTATTGAATTTTGAATATTCTCTTTTAGCAATTAATCAACATTGTAATCATTCTTAAAGGGATAGTTCACCCAATAATGAAATTCTGTCACTATTTACTCACCGCAGTGTTTTTCTAAACCCGTATGGTTTTCTTACTTCTGAGGAGCACAAAAGTTTAGCTGCTGTTTTCCTTAAAATGAAAAGCACAGCATGTAAAGACCTTCCACAACAGGTTTCATGTAGAAGTTTGTTCTTGCATGTCTCATAACTCAATCTGCAGTAGATGGGACGGTTATCAACGAATAACATCTTCAGTTTCTGTCTGTGCATCACAAGTAGTTCAGTATGACTTCACAAGACTTGGAATATAGCGCTCATGAGATGTTTGTTCTACTGATGTTTGTAGATGTACTTATGACTTATGGTTCTTGTTTTGTCCCTTATGCCTCATTTTTATGGAAAAGAGCAGCGTGAACATTTTTCCATGTAACACAAAAGGAGATTTTTTTTAAGTATCAAAGTCATGCAGGTTTTGAATAACAGGAGGGTCAGTAAATGACTTATTTTCATTTTACAGTGAACTTTTCCCTTAATATATATTGAAATTTGTTATTCAATGCATATTCACAATTAAGAAGATGAGTTGATTTTTGTCAAAGAGTGATTACAAATACATTTAAAGATGAATAAAATGTGTAAAAGGAATCATTCATGCTGAGGCATCTCAGATACACAGACTCGCACATAAACTCAAGCCTTTTCTCAGTAGTGTGTGTTGCATGAGCTGCCATGCGCTGTGCTTCTGTATGAACGTGTGTGTCTGGCACCTGTTGCATGTTTTAGCTGGATGCGTGGCTGTTCTCTGCTCTGTCTGATCATTCCTTGATCCGCTCTGACTGTGCTTCACCTGACCCCTTACCCAGCGTTCCCTGCTCCCTGATCACTTGACCACTTGATCTATCAATCCAGTGAAGTGGACTTAGGCAATGTTCTTCATTTAGTCATGAAAAGTATCATGACATGTGCCCTTGGCAGTGCTGCTGCCTCTGTGGTCATTGTTGCTTCCCTCTACTAAAGTAATAAGGATTCATACTTTATGGATTATGTTTGTGTAAGCTGATATCACGTGTCTGATATTGATTTGTAGTCATTGTCTGGGGTTGTTCATGTCGGTAGGGGATTTTTAAAAAGACATTTGCTTTCTTGACTGAATATTTTTTCCTCCTATTTTTCATTAATGCATCTTTTACTGTTTTTTTTACTTTGGAAGTTGCAAAAAGTTTAACACTGCTCAGAATCGGTAGTAAACGGCTGGCACCTGTCCAGCATTAATCATCTATATATAAAAATATGAGGGGGAAAAATGGTTTTGGTGATATAAGAATATAGCCTACACAAGAAATAGGCCTACAAACCGTTTGTCACAAATGTTGAGATAATTAATAAAACTATCATAGGTATAATAAAGTAATTTAATATAATAAAGTAATTTAAGTAATTCAATAATGTAAATGCAATTCTTGGCTTTAAGGCATATTTATTAGCCAGTATATTTTATATACTATTGGCAGTGATACTATATTTTTGAGCTCTGACAGGTGCTGTTTTTTAACTAATTGAGAATGAATGATCAATTGAATGTTTGGTTTAGTTTATAAGAAAATTCACTGTGGACTTGTGTATTTTTAATTCTGAGTTATTAGTCAGGCTATGAGTGATTTGAATCATATTATAGCAGTGGTAAGTTGATCATCAGGCCATCAGGCTTCTGGTCTCTTTTCCGCTGTGCACTTCTCTCTTTAACGTCACCGTTATTAATCAAACTCCCTTCTGCTGTTGGCTGTTTATCCAGGATAGGATGGAGTTTGTCCTCTATTGGGAAGCATGACTGCACTAGCAGGGGAATGCTCTGCCTACTGTTGTAGATTAGGTGATGAAAGCTGTCAGTTAGGAGAATGGCAAATCACACCACTGTCCTTTTCGTCCTCACCATCATCCTCGTTTTCCTCATTCCCCTCGGCCCTCTCCTAGTATGTGGTAAACGGGCAGGGGAGTTTGCTCTCATGAAAACCCCTTGCTCTCAGAGAGTGTGAGCAACTGTGCGTGCATGTGTGCGAGTGTGTGTATGTGTGTGAGAAAGAGAGAGAAAAGCTCAGGTACTAGCCTTGTTTACATTAGTGCATGGTTTTCTCCCTCTCTGAAGACAATTTTGATATTTGTCACTGTTAAATATATATATATATATATATATATATATATATATGAATGGATTCGAAAACGGTAAAACTCAACTGTTTAACTCTAGGGGAGTTGGAAAATGAGCCTATTTTCAAAAATATTGGAGTGTTCCTTTAAGGCCTGTTTGACGCTATATGCTCAAGCAACTTCACACCAAGAACAATAACTATAAATATAATGATAACTATATTAGTGTCCACATTGACGCATTATAACATTCTGATTATTCTAAGTTCATACACCAGTTTTGCCATCTGCTGCTTTAAATGCTCACGCTCTTTAAAGTTGGGTGGATTCTAATTTTTATCATTCATCATGTGGAAAAAAATTATCTGAAAATGATTGCAATGATATTGTTCCTCAGTGTTGTTATTATTAAAGCTGTGGTGTGGACTTCACTATTCTCATACAATTAGAACAAATAATTAAAATTGATATTAATTGTTATAGTTATAGTCCTTGGTGTAAACAGGCCATAATGCTTTGGACAATCCAGGGATAAACACCATTCTACTATGGTACTCAAATATAAAATCTGGCATTTTATTGATATAGAGCAGGTTTTTCTTTACCTGGATTCATGAGAAAACTGCAGGGGGTTGTGAGTTGATGAAAGGCTAATAATGAAATCATAAAAATGAAAAATTATGATAAATAAATAATATTAAAATAAAAAAAACCTCACTAAAAGTATTAAATATTTTGTTTACCCTCATGTCATGTGAGACCATTTACCGATATCAGAGAACCGTGAATTTGCATGTGTTGTTCAGTTATTGAAATATTAATTACAATTTTTTGGTCAAAGAGATTCAGCCGACAAAAAACGCTTTGGGAATCCCTGATATAGACAGTAATAATAAACAAATAAATAAACACGATTGTGAGTTGTGGCAGATTTGGGAGCGTCAAGAAACCAGCTAACAGGGCTAGTATGCTGCTAAAGCGAGTGGGGGTGTTTATGTGCCAATGGTGTGTGTGATGATGTAAATATGTTTGTTTCAGACGAGCCGGAGACACGGGATGCGTGGTGGGAGGAGATCCGTCAGGAAATAAAGTCTCATGCCAAAGCTCTTGGCTGCCACGCTGTGGTGGGCTACAGCGAGTCCACCAGCATCTGGTACTTAAACACACACACAATTCTCAACTCTGAGGATATTTCCACACACTGGTTCTCAACTGTTTTTTAGGCTTCCTCATATATACAGGTTTTCAAGACAGTTGAGGGAGTGAATTAAAATCTTGATTTTTAGTTGCACAGCTTTCTCATTCTGTCATTCAACCATGATGAAAGGCTCTGATTATGTGCTCTTTGTGTTTGCAGTGAGGAGGTGTGTATTCTATCAGCGTCAGGCACTGCGGCAATCCTCGGCTCCCGATTCATGCAGGATGGCCCGCTGGACGCCGAACACAGGTTGTCACGGCAACCGCTTTGTGTCTTTTCTACAGGGTCAGAGAGGGTCGAGGGGGATATGGGTAGTTCAGCCTCGCTAGGGTAGGTTAATGACACACACATACACATACACACACACCTTTGGCCCCCTGCTAAGGGACTCTTATAAGAATAGTTCACCCAAAAATTAAAAATGTGATTATTAACTCTCCCCTCATGTCATATCAAACTTTAAAAAGGGTGTACCAAGAAAATAATCCATAATTAGTAATTCAACTTGTTTGCTATATCCTCAGTCTTCTAAAATCATACAATAACTTTAAAGACAGCATAAAATGACAATTCACCCTGTCTGTTTTCTAAATGAATTTTATAAATCTTATTGTGAACATAAAATATTTTTTTGATACTACGTTACACAATGGATGTGTCACAATATAGAAAAGATCTGTCACTACTTCCGTTTCATTGCGGCAATAAATTCAAATCATTATTCACTGAATTTTTTCCTTAATGCAGTACAGTAGCTCTTAACGTCGGAATGAAACAGAAATTGTGACATATATCTGAGTGAAATGGCTTCTTAAACAAGGAGAAAAATACAGAAAAAATATCAAAAATATAGGACAGGACTTGATTTTGAATTGATTAGATTGTTGTCGTTTCCTGTGATCTTATGTGAAGAAATGTTGTTTTGCGTGGAGGAGGGGAAGTTAATATTTTTGATTAAAAATTACAAGGCAACCCTCTACATTGCGAGTAAATCACTCGCATATGCGACTAAATCTTCACTCTGGGCGACTAAATTATGTCTAATATTAGCCAATTGCTAATAAATTCTCAGATTTTACTCGCCAGTGTGAGTTGGAGGCTAAGGGGCACATGAATTAAAAAAATTATATGGATGGATAAATAATTTTTAATAAACACTGCAGTATTGTGAATTTGGATTTCATGGTGACATTAAAACCAAAAGGTTTGGAATGACACAAGTGTAAGTAAATCATAACTTAAATTTAATTTTGGGTGAACTTTTCCTTTAATCTCAATACTAAACAATACTAATTAAATTTGTGTGTGTGTGTTTGTGTATGTTTGCTGAGGATGTCTTTTTATACAGCTACTAACCAAATTAAGTCCTGAGGCCTAAACATTTGCCTATCTCTGCATTTGTATATTTTATGTTAAAAAATAATACCATCTTTACAAATTTGTATGCTTATGTAATAATTTTATTCAGTTTTAGCTCATGTGGGTGCTTGGGTCTCTGTGTGTTCCCTTGTGTTATTGTTTATGTACTAATTACAGTGTTTATTTCTGTAAGATTTGAGGAGGTGGTGTCCCCTGGCTGTGGGTTTTGCCACATACCGTACGATGAGTTGAATATACCATTTCCTGCTCAGCTCACCTATTGCTACTGCTGTCGCCACTACAAAGTGCCCGACGTCCTCTTCACCACAATCGACCTGCCTACTGAAGCCAACGTCACCGGGAAGGGCTGCCTGATTCAGGCCAGGTAGAATATGCACAGAACATCCTTTCTGAATGCTATATTATTGTGCTGCATACTGCAGTATAGCGCAAATAGTATATGTGCTATTTAGTGATACATGCTTTAAATTGCAGTGTGTAGGGCAGCATGTGTAAATTAAATAAAAACGAAATCACAATTAAAAATTTTTAATCACATTTTAAATTACAATTTTAAATAGAAAAAATTATATCACAACGTTACATTTCAGTGAATTCAACCCTCTACGCACACCTTGGCAATATAATCGCCATTGGCTAGTAAATTGTTTTGTTTACTCGCCAGACGGATTTACTATTTTACACACACACACACACACGCATTTACTTAGCTATCTAAATGGGGGACATTACATAGACTTCGATTGTTTTTATATACAGATAGTTATACACTTTTTAACCTAAACCCACCCCTACCCCTAACAGAAAACTTTCTGCATTTTTACAATCAATAAAGTAAAAAAAAA